TGTTTAGCTGTCTATAAATACAGGTAGCTGTGCACGATGGTCGACTGTTCGACTATCATTTTTCATTAAGAGATAAGTGGCATATAATAAATCAGTGTATAAAGCATGCATAGACTGTCTAATGTATTAATGTGTGTTGAATTATATTTTCCTACATAATATGAATTCTTAATAAGAAATGTCTAAACAGGAACAACATGGTCACCTTGTGTCATACCTTACCCCGACCCATTATCTGATATATATATAGTTATATATCCTTAATGGGGTCGATACGTGCCAAACATGAACTCCTGATCATGATCAATATAAGGGTTTTAAGTCAGCGGTAGGTATATTAGGTAGATACAAAGATATGATTAATCAATTTGTACGCATACATGTTTTATATGTTTATCATACCTGGGTGTCCAAATCGATATCTGACCATCAGACACGGACGTTTAATATATTTATAGTTGAAATGGCCTAAATGATTAATCTATAGCTACTGGATTCGATGTCAATGCAAACAAAACAAATATATTCGGGCGAGGGATGATTTTAAAAAACATTTTCTTTGGGAAAACCACGCGATTTTTACACGATTAGAGGGTATTATCTTAAATGATTAGTTTATAGCTCCTGTAGGCGATGTAAATGCAAAAAGTCTTTTGAAAGGGGAGGGGGATTTTTTGAACATTTTCTATATGAAAATCCTGCTATTTTAACACAATAGGATAACAGCACAGACAAGCCTACGCCTGAATTCTACTCTATGGGTTCGGAAACTTAGGGAAATTGATCTACATGACCCAAATGAAGGACTGTGAGATAATAATGAAACTTAAATACTTACATGGGAATATGAACGGCAAGACCGGGATTCGAACCAGGGCCCTCGTAATTCTAAACGGACGCTCAACATGGGCGCAGGCAATCGATCCACTCTTGTTCCGTCGCACATTCATATAGGAGTTGAGCGTCCTATGAATGGTCAGGTCAGTTTAGAAAAGAGACTCCTTTTATTAGTAGTAAAGCAACTTATTGTTTATTAATAGTAATATCTTATAATATTTATGAAGTTTAAGCATGCATTATATACAGAATTGTTTCATTTTTATTTTCAACTTTGGTATGAGCACAATAGTATTATATTATAAGTCAGTCAAGGATATCATCAAGTAGACATGCCAAAATGTTCTGATAAAAGTAAAATTCTGTCCATACATACGCTGCACCCTTGATCGTAAGTACACCATTTAGTATCAAAATGCAGAGTATCACATACATGTTTATAGAATCACGCCTTGTGTACTGTGCCAGCAAGTCGTCTTGTTAGGAAATCAAATATAAACTCAATAATGATATGTTTGGTGATTAAAATTATAACCTGCGAAAGAGCTGAGCAAACTACTGATATCCCCGACTTTTTTTTAATAAAATCGTTTAAACCCCTTCACCCAAAATGTGTGCAGGGGGATATTTTGTTCGTGTAGATATTGAATTCAGTTTACCTGTGTAGTAAATAGCCATTTACTGTGTGTATGTGTGTTTATACAATACGGTGTACCAGGTAATATGCATTCTAATGCGATCCAACTTTTGACATTTTCAGGGTTGATTAAATATGAACTAGATAAGAAATCAATAATAAAATCAATTATTACCTTTGTGAGATCCAATTTGCCGCATGATTGCTTGGCAAAGTCGACATGGATCTATATAGCGATAATCCGTTTTGTCAGTGATAACCCGATAGTCAGGGATTAAGTGGTATTATGTAGATTACACTGTTTTATAGCGTCTTACAGCTTTTTTTACAGTTACAAAAACAGTACTATATGTTCAATAGCCTTAAGTTAGCTCATATGAACATAGAAACTGCATACCAATTTTAAACTATGAACGTTATCGACGTTTTTTTGACAAGCTATATAAATATATTGCTGTATAATACTGACCGATGATAACTGAGGACAAACTTCTTCTGCAGGAGAAAGGCGTGCTTCCCATTCCCTTTGTATAGCAACGAGATGGACCACATGATATGTTTAACTTAGTCCTGGATGACGTTGACTTTTATGCATTGGTGAAGTCACATTAAAAAGTTGAAACAGTAATGGGGACTGTTTCAAAAGTCCCTCAAACTGTCCTCGCTGTCGTAAATGATGCAATTGAAAGTTTTTGCAATTAATATCCTTTACTAAGCTGGAGCAAAATCAGATATAAATAGGATCTGTTGGCATCACATTGGCGTATACATGCATTGGGAAGAGTTTACAATGCCATACTACCCCCAATACCTGAGAAATAGAGATGGACCGTTGGCATTACCTTGGCGTCCACCGATAAACGTGTCAATCAATCAGAGGACACAGCGGTAATCTTTGATGATCGAAGGAAATTTTTTGAAACTGTTAATCAAAAGAAAAATGAGGGGAAAACGAAGAAAGAATCATTATAACAAGGAGACAAAGAAACGTAGCAAAAACAGTAAGTTCCCAAACGTGTTTAGGGGAATTAACTAGCCTTTCACCATAATGGACAATGCCACCTTACAATGCGTGTACTGGGGAGCAGCTGTAATACACAATGGAGAAGAAAAAATGTGTGTGATGAAAAGTTGAGCTTCCTCGGGGGCTATAAATCTCAATTCTGACACAAATGTAAACATATCGCTTCCTTGAATCCTTAATATCAACAAAGCGTTTAATATCATTCGCATACAAAGGCCTCTTTCACGAATACACACAGCTGTCTCGGTATGTATTACCGTGAGGTCAGGTACGACATAAAATTAAAAACGTTTTCCGACCTATATAATCCGTCCCGACCGAATTCCAATGGTGACTTGAGGAGAATAATACCCATTTCTTCTCTATTATTGACGAGTTAATTTAAAATCAATAAAATTCGAACTTTAGAAACAAACAATGCCACTGTTTTTACTGTGATTTATAAACTTAAGTGGGATCTTAGCGTGCTTAATACCACAGTATCATTCGGCACGACCGATATATTTTTATATGATCCATGTCTTAAATATCTAATTAAGATGCACTTGTTTATCATCTACCATCATATTTTATTTTTGGTCTTTTCATTTCATCTATTTTCTTCATGTCTTTATTTATATTAACATATGTGCAAAGGTGTTGACTGAGGATTGACACTCGTCGTCCAAAATAAAAAAAAATAAATCAATGGAGTTACTTAGAAAATCACTGATTTCTAAAGATTCGCAAAAAATATGATTTCAGAAGGATCAGCAAAACTTAAGTAGCACAATTTAAAACCAAGCATAAAAATAACACTTGAAATCCGCTGTATGATATGTACTTATGTTTGTCAACAAATATCATTTTAACAAAAAATGATTTTTCTTCGCCATCAAGTATGGAGTGGCTGTGTGTTTACGGGCTATTCTATATCTAATCAACATTATGGTACTGATGTTTAAGGCACGTCGCTGTTTCATTTTATATGTGAACGGGTTTCACATCAACCTCCGTAACACACTATTGTTTGTATCAAGTACAGACTAGACCTCCTGTGTCACACTGCATGGCTCTATGAGACAACTAAATGATAGCCCTGGCAGAATCGGGGGATCTCCTTCTGTGTCTTCCAAATACGGGACATTAGACAAATCCTTTATTGATTTGCTGCCCGTTTTAAAACACTTAAGCCTTCTATCTTTTTTCTTCTTATCTGGTCAGACTATTTTAAAAGAATAATGTTGCCTGGTAGAGTGTCAGGCCCCCGTATCCGGATTATGAAATTTCAGTATTATGACACATTTTATTATAAAACATTACCATTGAGTGGTCCCGTCAATTGAATCTTACTACCAGTAGCTTTTGCTAATACGTTTATATACTAATAATAGATACTCAGAAACTATTATAGTGATCACCCTTTATTCCCCCCAACATACTGAATTAAATATAATTCTCGTGTAGATCTCCCCATGTTAACGGTATAAACACATATTCTATCTCAAAGAATCAAACGACCAAGGCCAAGTGATTGCGCTCAACACCTCATATATGATTTCAAATAGCCTCGCCTCAGCCAAATGTTTGTCTTTGTTCAATACTGACGACAGTGAAGGAGTAAGTGTTATCACTACTAAAAGTCAACAAGGCCCTCAGCCCTGATGGTCGGGGTAAGATGGTACTTCACTCGTGTTTACAACCTGTCGGGTAGGAGATACTCGAGTACGTATAGATCACGTACTTCGCTTGTTGTCATGTGATCAACCACCCGTGTAACTGTGTCTAATCACCATTAATACATGAATGAATAAAGAATGAAAACGAACGGAATGAATGAATGCGGAATGAATGAATGAATGAAAACGAACGAAATGAATGAATGAAAACGAACGGACGAATGAATAAATGAACGAACAAAAACGAACTGACTAACGGACGAATGAATGAATAAGTGTATAGATAGATCGATCGATCGATCAATTCGCAATCAATCAATTTATTTATTGGTGCATAAAAGCTTTTTTTTTTTTTTTATAGTTCAAGAATTTTATGAATAAAACAATGAAGGATGTATTCTTGCAATAGTAAGTTATCCAGTTTAGGTATTAGTACCTGAATGATTGAATATGTACATCCTTAAATACAAGAGTGAATAGCCTCTGATGTCAACTATGTCAATATCAATTATTTGTCGCCATAACATGAAAATTAAGAAATAAAACAATGACAGCAGAGGTATTCTATCACTGGTGGACTAAGAATTATTGTAAATACGTTAGAAGATATATAGTAAATGGTTAACATTTGATTTTTAATTTTACCGGTGTATCATACCTGTTTATTGAATAACCGTGTCTAAATGTATAACATTTCAGCGAGAGACCTTTTTAATGTCTCCCTATTCTGTGGCTACCGTACGCGTCTGCATGTTATTTCGACTTGAGCTGATTCAAGGATTTCTTTAACAAACATTTACATAGCAATCTCAATAATTGGTTGCCAATTGTTCCTTTTTTGCAGGTGCGGAATGTCACTTTCGGTACCGTCATCTTGATGACGTCATTGAGAGCGACCAGACTCACCAGAAGCGGGCGGCATTGGAGGCCCCGCTCCGGTATGAACATCTCGCTGAAGAGGAGAGGGCGATGGTGGAAAAGCTACTGATGGGTGGCCTCCCCAGGGCGGATATGCCCGAGCCGTCGCCAAAAATTGTCAGACTCTACGTCAGTTCCGCCGGATATGGTACGTAAACACCCCAATAAAAAGCTGCAATGGATATATATATAATTTGAATATATTTAATTTGTACATTATTTAAAAAAAGTATTAAGCAATATTAAAGTAGACAATAACCAGACTAATGATAGTGATGTATATGTCAATTTGTTTTGCACCCTAATGCTACGAAAGTTCATTTATAACCTAGGTCAAGCGGAGCTTAATTTCTCTTTTACTAGCTGTTTATAAACACGCTTGCCTCGAAGTTTGTGTTAAGATGAAGAAATCATCAAGCTTATTTTAACCAGCCCTTTCTCAAAAATGAAATCGTATGTTCTTACTTAGTCGTTTAAGGCAATGTCTTGTTCTAAAATCAGTACGTATTCATGTGCTGTTCACTTAAAGACCCATGTAACACTCTCAAAAAGGCAATATGTATTCGAAACTGATTTTTTTCCGGAATGAGTACAACGTTGATAAACCATTTTTGAAAAGAAAAGTATACATTGTGGGACTTTTATGAAAACTATGGAGATAAAATAAGCAAAACAATAACCAACAATAGTGTTCGAGGTGTAAAAAATCAGTGGGGCTACACTTGGATTCGAATTGGACTTCAAATTGTTATACTGTCGCTCTATATGTGAAATTAAGGGGAGGTTACTGGGTATATGAAAACAACGGTGAAGTTGGAAAGGGATCCTTAACTTAATTAGTACTACTAGTATTACATTGCTTTTTCCCGTAACGAGAAAAAAGGGTTGTGGTTTTAGTACAAGTAAATTATACATGATATAAAAAAAACAATTTATCACATGTATAAATAAAACGTTCGATATTTACCACATTTTTCTCGTTAAATGGATTTGTAATTTGAATATATTAATTGTTTGTTCTTAGAGATGGAAAGTTTTTGGTCTATTTTACGCTCAGAATTAGGCAAGATACCTTACTATGATCATGATTCGGGAAAAGTAAATGATATTTAAATATCAACTGTGTTTATTTTACAAAAACTGAAAACAAGTTATTCCAACTTATATCCATGCCTCTTGTAGGCCCAGATGTTAGCGCGCGTGGGTCTTAATGTTGGAGGACACCAGTGTACCGGAGAAAACTCAAGTTGTCGAGTAAGGTGACCCTATACCTTTTCACGTCCGATCGGGGAATCGAGCCCCGGCCGCCCTGTTGTAAGGCGAGAGCGTTATCCACTACGCCGCCCGATCACCCACATTATATTTGTTAACAGTTATATAACATTAAACCTTCATTTCACAGATACAGAGGCTGAGAGGACTGCGTTCATGCTGCACGTCTACCCGGACATGCGCGAATACTGCCGGGACCAGTACGGCATTGACTTCCAGGTAACGTTACTTCCGGTATATCTCAACCGAATCGATGTCCAAGTCGTAGAGATTTACATCGGACTCAATTAAGAAGATAGAATATTGATCGTAATTGCAAATTGATAAAAACGTCATGATTCCACTTTTATAAACATAGCCTTAGATATGTGACATCTTTTTATATTCTAAAATTGACTTTTAACCTTACACAGGCTATTGACTTGAAGTGGGGCGCTAAGACAGAAGGAATTGTTCCCATGCCAACCGACCAGACCTGTTTCCGGGAATTCCGCCATTGTCGTCAAACTTCCATGGGACCTGTCTTTCTGGTACGAAATCTCACCTTATTGTCACACACAATATATTTAGCATACTTTTGTTCTTATTCTATCTAAGTACTAAACATGTAGAATCTACCACCCAATATCAAGGTTCGTCTACAATCACTGGTCTTCCCTTCACCATCAAGTTCGAGGTCTACGTTGGGCAATCGCCAGGTACTATCCGTAGGTCGATCTAAGTACTTAACATGTATAATCTACCACCCAATATCAGGGTTCGTCTACAATCACTGGCACTCCCTTCACCATCAAGTTCGAGGTCTATGTGGGGCAATCGCCAGGTACTGTCCGTATGTCGGTAATTTTTCTCCGGGTACTCCGGTTTTCCTCCATGACCTTAACCTAGCACGTCCTTATTTTAAAGCAACTTTTAATATGACTTTAAGCACAAACAAACCAAACCAAACCATATCATATTAGGCTTATTCAAAAACACATAAAAATGTGTAAACGTTATACAATACACATATCTATATTGTATTGACTATAACGGTAAGTAGAGGCACAGAACGAGACTATACGGTGGGTAATGCACGATGAATACAATAACGAATGACGATATAAGTTAAAATATAGGCGTGTTTGGATTTTGAAAATAGTAGTTAGGTAAACTTAGAAAACAAACCAGCAACTACTTCTCACGAAGATACAGTTTAACTTCGTTATATAAAGCCTGTATCTTTATCGGTGTCTATCACTAGCAGTTTAATCAAATGCTCCATCCATTTCAAACTTCATTATGCAACAAATTCGCGAACTCTCTCTTTAATCATGTTTGCTTGACAGGATTTTAAAAGTTTAGTTGTTTTATTTTCAAAAATAGGAATAGTAGTAGGACAGTTCTAGTTAATGTATTAACATTTCTACAGGGTTTGATTGGTCAAAAGCACAGACGTTACAGCCCTCCGGAGGAGATACACAGGTCAGAGTTCGAGAGAATTTACGAGGCTTTGGTCAACAATGATCATGACGTCACGTTGTTGGAGACGTACTACAAAGAGGACACGAACGTCACGCCAATAGTACGTCGTCTGACCGACCCTGTCGACATCATGGGTGAGTGTGACGTCACTAGAGACACATATCTACCTTCATATTTACCAAACGAAACTTTTGGCGTGACGTGTAATTCTCTACCTCGTCGTAAATATAACAATTATGACGAAACTGATTCTGTATACAGTATATGTACCTCATTTATTTCTTTTGAATTTGATTGTTGGTTGTCATTCAAATCTTTTTCGTGAGAAGTTAAATTTTCGAAAGATGCAATATCATACGAACGCTCCTGTTTAACCGTCTATAAAACAACTGTTCGCGAGATTAATAACCTAACCAAAGTGAATGCTCACGTACAAACGTAATTTTCAGTATGTCCACAGAGGAACGTCATTAAGATCAGTATTGTTTTCTGTTTGTAGGCTGTGCTCTCCCCGCCAGTACATACACGTTAGCTAAGCTACAACACCTGTTAGCTACAGGAGCAGACCTGTGTCTTACGGACAAATCAATCAATGAGACGGACTACCAGAAATATCAGGCCTCAGGTACATAAACCAGACGATTGCTTAAAGATCCCCGTACCACTGCCAAAACTGTAAATACGCATCATAAATAAGACCAGCGTTAACTACGGCAGTGTTTAAGATGGCCGTACCACTGTCAAAACTGTAAATACGCATCATAAATAAGACCAGCGTTAACTACGGCAGTATTTCAGGATGGCCGTACCACTGTCAAAACTGTAAATACGCATCATAAATAAGACCAGCGTTAACTACGGCAGTGCTTAAGGATGGCCGTACCATTGTCAAAAACTGTAAACACGCTTCCGAAACCTCTTTTTCTGGCATGACTTTAGCTTTGATATATCGGTCCTGAAAAGAAAACCATACCTTTCGGAGCCTGTAAGGAATATAATAAAAGCCAAATATACAGAATTTGTTATGCAAAATTGTGCTGAGTCTGAAAATTTTGCGGGGCCAGACCTTGATTTGAACTCTGGAATTCGAATTATTATACTTTTGCTTTAACCGACCGATCTACCTGGTCAATGGAAATGTCCTGGCACAACTGTACTACAGTTATTTCCAAAACCAAAGTAAAGGGAGGGTACTATATATACGGGAATTTGTAGTGTTTTGCCTTTAATGGGACAGGAATCCTTAAATGAACAATAAGATGAGCCATTATTATGTATCTTGTTTAAAATTTATAACTTGTTGACATTAATTAATGGTGGACTTTTAATAAGGTTGATACGTTGACTTATAAACGTGACAAAGTTACACTGGTATTTACCGGTATTAAGTAGGGAACTTACATGGGATTAACTGCTAATCCGGTTGTTTAATCAATAACACATTAGATACTATGTAGCGTACGTCAATTGTTTTCATCTCAAAAAAGGTAAATGTCACACATTTCAAATTTTGTTTAGTTAATGTAATTTCTAAAAAAACGTATTTTTTTTACATTTTCTTTTTTCAGATTTGCACATGGAAGGACTCTATGAACTGTCGCCTGAATCTAGAGCAGAGAAAAGTTTGATTTATATACGGGATTTCACTAATATGGATAAGCTTCTGAGTGATAGCGCCAAACATGAATACATAGATTTCAATCCAATTACCAAGGAAATTGATAAAGCAAGTGTTCAAGAACTTGACGACCTCAAATCCACGCTCAAGTTTCTTCTTCCAAGTGCAAACATAAATGAATCGGAAATAGAATGGGCTGGAAACGGTTTGAAAAATTCGAAACGAGACGAATATCTTCAAAAATCCTCTCGAAAAATGTTCAGTTCCCTGAAAACGCTTATCGACAGGGCTGTGGAAAAACGGAACCCTTTGGTAGAAGATGAACTTTACAACGAAGTGTTACAGCATCATAACATAGCAGCAAAACTGTGTCCGAACGTCCACGGCCGTTCTGAAATCCTGGCTGCCGTGAAGGGGTATCTACTCTCTGAAACGGACCAACCCCTAGTCATCTGTGGCGAAGCCGGGAGTGGAAAGTCATCGGTCATGGCAAAGATAGCTTTAGATATCAATGTTGCTATACAGAACAACGATTTAGCCATGAGAACTTCAATCATTTGTCGATTTTTAGGGAAAACTCAGAAATCTCTTACAGCACAGCAACTGTTATTTTCGGTGTGTCACCAGCTCGCTTTTGCTATGGGGAAATACCGTCACGAAGTCCCCAGCGACTATAAGACCTTAAAACTCTACTTCATTGACTTGCTACAACGTGGTGAGTTTGGTGGTATGGTCATCATTCTGCTTGATTCACTGGACGTATTGTCCACATGCGACAATGGGCACAAACTTGAATGGCTGCCGTCTCGAGTAGCGGCCAACATCAAACTCGTTGTCACCACCAGTATGGAAAGTAAGGGCACTCTACAACGTCTGACGAACAAGTGCCCCACAAACATCCACGAACTTAGTCCATTCAGTCCCACGGATTGCGAGGATATTGTGAAACATCTCATGAATACTCGTGAACTTGCTGTGACGTATAACCAGTGGAAAACGATCAAAGACGCTTTTAAAGGGTCGACTCTGCCACTGTACGCCACATTAGTCTTCAGTGAGGTGTGTCGATGGACATCGTATGATGACCCGAACGTCACATTATTGGGTTCGTGTGTCGAAGAGATAGCAGAGTCCGTGTTGGATCGTCTGGAGCGGAAGCACGGTCGATGTCTCGTATCCACCGTACTGGGGTATATCACAGCAGCGAAAGCAGGACTCAGCGAGAACGAACTTTTCGATATTCTGTCAGTGGACGATGTGCTCTTAAACAATTTATATGTAGAATGGCATCCGCCAATCAGACGGTTCCTGCCAAGACTATTCACGGTCATCAAACATGAACTGATTGACTACATCGAGGAGCGAGAAATGGACGGCATTTTAGTCTTGTTTTGGAAATGTCGACTGTTTTCATCCGTAGCGGAATACCGCTATCTCGAAGACGAGACATTCTCACAGCAAATTCACACAAACATCGCCGACTACTACTTGGGAAAATGGAGTGGGGCAAGCAAAAAACCATTTCAATATCCATCGACGCTTTTGGCAAAACAAAAGATGGGGAACTCCGAGAGTGAAGCCTGTCGATTACTGCCCCGGCAACCCTACTTATTTGGAACGTCAGAAGTGGATGAACGATACAATCTCCGAAAGATGACACAGCTTCCTTATAGTCTGATGATGAGCGACCGATACGATGACCTTCGTGAAAAAGCTTTTTGCAACTTCGATCATCTGTACTATCGCATAAAGTCGTCTTCTTTGCAACAGCTGCTGACAGACATCGACATGTTTGAGGACAGACAGACAGCGTTGGTTGGCGACGCACTCAGAATGTCAGGATCTGCTCTGGAGATGGATTTAAACGCGTTAGGGGTCGAGTTAACGGGACGACTGATTCCGCATATCAAGACCTACCCATACATCAAGCAGCTCATACGTCAATGCGATCTTGCCGAACAGAAGTTCTGTCCGTTAGTGCCAAAATGTCAGATATACAGCGCCCCTGGTGGTCCACTGCAATACGAATGTGATGTCGGCGGTAATGTATATTGTCCGGTAGACATCGACGTGTTCTCAAGCGAGGACGGCATTTTACTGACAGCGAAACCTTACTATAGCTCAAGAGTACGAGTGTGGGAGTTATCACGAGGCGATCCAAGACCAGACATGATGATGCCAGTCGGAGAAATCCATCCGACAAGAAACGGCAAATATCTAAATGTTTTCCAGAATGATCGCTCGGTAAAAATATTTAAGTCAGACTGTGGAGAATTGCATGGAGAAGTTGAATACGGGCTTGGCACCATGTCTGATCTGGAGGTATCTAACAAGTATCTGGTGTTTGCAATAGAAAAGGGTGCTGGACCGTACGTTATCGATCTTACACGATGTGTACTTCTGCACAAGTTCAGCTTTCATACACACGCGGTTGCAATCAATCCAAACGAAACTCATTTAACATTTAACTCCGGAAGAACGCTCATTCTGTATGAGCTGCCTCTAATGGAGCGACGATGCGTCGCACAAACGAGTGATGTTCCACAGGACATCATTTTCATTAGTAAATCACTCACATGTTTTGTCCTCACTAGGAGCAAGATGGTCGAATCAGTATTCTTTGACATTTTCAACAGGAAGTACCAAACGAACTGTATCCTTACTGACCTCGAAACCAAGGAGTGTGTTCTTTCACACACCGAGAAATACTTACTAGTTCGTTCCGCAAAATGTTTGTACCAAGTGAATGTCGAAACAGAAAAGATCATCAGGAAGTACCAACAACTCCCAAATGGAGTATTTGTAGACCCCTCATCTCAATACACTGGGGCTGGATTCACACCAGAAGACGAGCTGATCGTGGCGTCACGTTACACGTATTTGGCAGTTTGGAGCGCAAAGAACGGAGAACCACTTCGTGTTCTTCAGGCATCCGTGTCTCCGATCACGAAGATATTCACATCCGACGCGGTGAACAAGTGCGTCAGCCTTCTTGAGGACAACTCGTTCCAGGTTTGGAATCTGGATAATTTGGATTCAGACATCCTTCACTCAAACGAAGTCTTTCCAGGACCTGTCAAAGGAGTATCAGTTTCATCTGCATCAGGGAAAGTGGTTGTCTATGAAAGTCGAGTCCCGGAAGCAAAAGTTTTGAGCATGGACGACGGTCGAGTATCAGATATCCTTCAGCATAGCCTTGAATCTGAAGACAAGATCAAGGAGGTACTGTTCTCACCAAACGGTCGGTATATACTTACACGTGCGTATCGAACATCAGATCAAGATGAAGACAATGCAGAATGGAAGGTCTTAAGAGATGACATTCTCTGGGATATGACGGCCAATAGAAAAGTCTATCAGCTGCAAAATGATAGGTTCGTAGTTTTCAGCAAGGACAGTAAGCTATGCCTGATGATCGCCTGTCACAAGCATTCACAATTCGACTGGACAGAAAATGCCTACAATCTTGTCCTTCTTCAGCCGGACTCGGGGAATAGCGCATCTATTGATTTTCCAAAAAACACAGAGTTTGTTTCCGATCCGAAAATTCTAACAACGGATACGACAAATTATTTCATGTGTGTCGTACAAACGTGTATGAAGAAGGAAAGTCCGGAATCATTTATGGAGTCTGTCCGCTGGCACGAAATACGTCTTCTAGTCAGAGATCTTTCACATGCTGGGAACGAATGTGTTTACCTGAGAGTACAAAATGCTTTACCTGATGCAAACGAAACTACACAGTTCCTCGACGCATTTCCCGTCGACAATGACAATGTCTTACTCATCTATGGAAACAATGTGGAGAGCTACACTTTCGATGCTGCGTTAGGAATTGTCAGACCCCAAACCATTGAAAAAGGAACATTGCTCTACAACGTAGAGAAAGAAGTCTGCCTCAAACATATCTCGTCTTTTCTTGAACCAAGTACTGACATTAACCACATACAATTTTCCTCTAAGTTCAGTGTTGTCCTCGACAATAAGACGAACATCTACAGCGGAAGTAATTACACAACTAAGTGTAAGTCAGACATGGAGTTCGCACCCAACACTGCATGTTTGGCATTGGACGGAAGGTATGTGGTAGGGCTTTCGTCCAATTTCAGAGAAGTGATCGTGACACGTTCGAGCGACGGTTTTTTGAAGGGTCATCTGTTCGTACATGGTCGAGCAACTTGTTTATCCGTGGCTGCTGACGATAGAACAATTGCGGTAGGGTGTGAAGATGGACGCGTACTTATTCTGAGCCTAATCCTGGAACTTTCTGACCCAGTCACAGATATAATTGAACGCTTTCCTAGTCGATTGCATGTACCTGATTCGAGCAGGTCTAGCGAGAAGGAACTCATCAAGGAAGACATCCGACGCATGTCGTGTAAGACACCGGACCTGGTGAGATTGTCGGCCCGGATACAGAGCGCCAGAGCAGAAAACAGACGACCACCCTCGCGTCAGATGATATCAACTGCGGTAAGGATATCCAGGCAAGCCAGCCAAGTGAGATCCGAAGCTTGTGTCATTCAATAGGGGAACTGGTATTGATAGGGATAGCAAAAGGAATATAGGGCAAATATCATATTCTAGTTCTGGTTCGTCAAATTAGTGAATATTTATTTTTAAAAGATTATTAAAATGTTTGCTCATAACTGAAGCTCAACCCTGCAGAAATGTTTATAGTTAGCACACAAATTAATTACAATGTATTATATCATGAAAAAAGAGTTTTTCATATTTATTCATATACATAACAGAAATGTATGTAAAGGTATTTTGTAGATCTCAAGTCTTATCATACAATTAGACAAACAGGATGTTTTTTAATAAACATTGTAATGCGTGAATAATTATGGCATTTACAGGGAATGTGATGACAAAACTTTTTTTTATTATCATAAAAACTAAAACCCATTGTTAAAATTCTGCTTTAGCGTATATATCGTGCACATTTGTTCAATGAACAGAACAGCTATCTTCCCTGGAGAGTCAGTGGTATCCAACAACACAACTACGACGTCATAATAAGGATGACGTCAACACATATGTCATGACATTAAAAGTATATATGAATGCCATCAAGTATGAACATTTGGTAGGGTTATATTGTGTCAACGCTTTTATACAGAGGTAAACATTACCAATCAAACACCAGCGACATCATTCAGTAATTAGATGAGTGTTTACAATTTCGTGACAGGCCTCAATTTGTCAGTTATGAGGATCTCATCATATTATATAACGTGCCAACAACTTGTCTATGTTTTATTATATTATATATTAACACATTATATAACATTCCTTACCTCTTGAGATGTGTTCTGTTTGCATCATAATATAGGAATAAGTAAAGGGAGGTAACTGGACTTCATTCATTTTCTGATATGCATGTGCACTGCCAACTCTTTTGACAATTCAAGTGAAACCATCAAGCAATATTTCTCAGACTTGCTGCGGATCCCACTATAAGCTTAAGAACACAGCCTTCTAGCAAAACTGAACACTTTGCTAATCTGATCATTCATTGCATTTATTTTAGTGTTTGTATTTGAAGTGAATTTATTTCATCTAAAATTTATTTCATCTAACTTATAAAATGCCTCTGTAACATCTAATAAGTTTTCTTACACGGACTTATTGTGAATTATTATATCCCGACTTTTCGAGATTATATGGTTTTATGTTCATGAATTAATTATTGTGTCTTATAATGATATTTGTAATACTGTTGTACTTTGTAGATATGAAATGCAATTTTAGATAAGAATCCCATCTTTCACAGGTTATTGAAGCATTAGAACATTAAAATGTTTCAGTTTTGTCAAATAATATTAATATAATTATATACATAGTTAAATTATTCAGTTTCATTGTTGTGTATATAGTAAACAAAGATCTAGAAATCAACAGTTTGTTTAGGATAACAGAGGGTTTTTTGAGAACTTCAAATTAGAGTTCTGCATAACGAGTTTAAATATTTAAAATGTATATACTTATGTATCTATAGTGTCAATCTGAAGGTGCCAACACAGTGCGTACCGTATTTGATATAATTATCAGCACCTGGAACCTTTATAGAAGTGAGAAAACTTTAACTTTTTTTGAAATATCAAATGCACGATACTTTTTCTATTTTGCTTGATTCGAAAAGCAGAATATTGTAAAATGAAAAAAAAACCCGTTGTAAAATGAAAAATATACAGACTATCAGGTAACAATAATGACTTGTTAGACCATGAGGCTATTTTGAACTCCATTAGAATAGAAATCTTGTTTTTAGGGTTGAATACATACATCAAATACAGGTATTTGCTCTTTCATCAACTGTGATATGTATAAAACAAATGTTATATAAACGACAATATATGTATGTTCATTGTATGTATACATTCTCTCGAATGTAGATTTTTTTCTTCATATTTAATGATATGTTCAAATGTTCAACTTCAAAAGCATGTTTTCGATGCTGTGTTTGGTTTACAACTTCATAAATACGTAAAGTCCCGCATGAGAATTAAGATTTTTTCGGAGGGTGTATTAAAAGGAAAAAAATAGTTGCCATTTCCGCGATAGGTCATCTTCTTCAATCTTGGTCTATACCAGATATACTTTCTACATCATGTATACCGAAGATTACTGTAAACGTACTTTTATTTCAGCATTCAAATTTCAGCGCAATATCGAATTTTAAAAGATTGGCGCTTTGAAGAAATGGCACACACAGACAATCTGCGATAGAAAACAATATACAGGAACATCGATTTGTGCGTACTTTCTAAAATGCGAAAAACGGTAAAATATACTTTATATGTCTCTGCTTCACTTCCATATCATTTTTTGCGAAGCAATAGTTGCATATTCCTTGTTTACATTTTCTGAATAAATATTCGTGATATGCTTGAAATCGGGAGAGTAATTCCTCGTGAATCTACGTGCAAATTTCACTTATTGTAAAGTCTGGGTACAAACACATCAAGTCTGTCATCTGTAATTGCAATCATCAAACAATTACAGAATCTGAATAAAATATTTGATAAGCTTATGACGGAGTTTTCTTCATTTGTTCCTTAAGTATCTGTGGTTCTGCTTACCATTAATTTCACTTTGTTTTGTTTTGATCTTCAAAATTATGTATAAAATATGTCAGCATTTGATTAATGAAATATAAAAACAACACAACTGAATCTGCTAACTGTTTATGTCACTATATTCTTTTATGTTCACATTTCTGTATAAATACATCATCATCATCATCATCATCATCATCATCATCAGGTATTCAAAGCCATCCATGAGCCTGTCATCATGCCTTTAACCTTTATATTGGCGTAACAATTGTAAGGTGAAATCTTAGTACACAAGTTACGCATAACAAACATTATATATGAACATGTTTACTGCATAACACAGTAGTTTATACAGCTATCTTTTAATAATTTATTTATTCATTAATTTATTAAGTTTATGTTTATACAATCAGAACAATAAAGACAAGATCCGCTACACTGAAGTCATGGTGACCATCTTATTCAAATATTGGTCAAAGAATTAAAACAGCACATGGTTAAAGTAGACAGGAGCTTAAGGAGCATTTGGTTCAAATACAATTTGTGAAATTGAGATATTGTCAAAACTAAATAGAGGGCGTTTCTGTGTGCACTGAGATAATATAACGGCATGGAGGCATCGATCGTATTTCCGAATGCAGCAAAAAGATAAGAGCGTCGACAAAATATATGTACATTATGGAACTTCGAGGTATTGAAATAACTGCAACCTTTAAGCCCTGAAGGAAGAAATGTTTTTGTTGTGTGCCAAAGAGGTATTCCAAAAGAGAATTGTAAAGCAGTTTAAAAGTCTTCCAAGTGTCGATACAAATATACTTTGGTAGATATCATTGTATAGGAGAGAATGGTAGAGAAGCAGAACACAACGTTGAAGATATGCCAAGACACAGACTTAACTCTTACAGTAAAAATGCTTCTTTAGTAGACTGAAATTTTAGGCTATTACCTAATTTTAATAGATTACCACATTGAAGAATAGGCACACTCACAATATATGCCAAAGAATGCTATATACAGAAACTTCAATTAGCGTAATCGTAATTAAGTCGAGAATTAAAGCACCTGAAGCAATAATGTAATTTAGTTTATCGACATTTTATTTTCTTAAGCCTCGTTCATATGATACTATGTTATATGTGTTGTCTCTTAATTATCAACATTTATACAGAGCTGAGCTGAGCTGATTTGTTTTGTTGGTGATAACATATTTGGTGGCAGCGGCGGGATCATCAAAAGAAGGGAACCGTTATTAAAGGATAGCGCTCGTTTAAGAGTATTACAATTGCGGGAAATGAGGAGAACTCAGATAAGCATGATAAAGTGACAGTATCTCAACCAAAGCTTGAAATCAAAAGGCATGAAATTCAAAATGGAAGCTGCAGAAAGGGAATGTAGACATCGGCGAATGCTTAAGGTACTTGTATTAGAGTTTGAAAAAGCGGGTTAACTGCATTGTCATCACATGCAGGATGGACAGACGAAGTTAAAATGTTATATCTTATAACATAACTACAGGCTAAAGCTGTAGTCATTCATGCTCATGACTCAGTAAGGCACCGATTGAAAGATAACTACAGTAAAAAGGGAACTACAAGAGTCAGAAAAAGGACTCATTGCGAGGATGATTCGGCGACGGATACCACAATTTATGGGTGAATATTTTCAGAGTGTACTGCCAGCTTCGCAAGCACAATGAATACGCCGTAATAAAAAGGGTCGAGTTGTGCTATTGAAGCCGCAGCAGATTATATTCTACTAGAGAGAAATACACAAAAGCCAACGCAAGGTAAAGTTTCAAATGGGAAAACTTTAATATTTGAAAAAGACCAGAGACAGGAAAATCAGCGACAGGTAAAAAAATGCAGTGCAACACCTGTAATAAGTATGGTCATTTCGCTAGGAAATGCCCTTAAAATAAAGATAGGAAAATTATTGCAAGATTTCTGTGAAGGACACAAGGTCAGATATAACCTTGATTTGGGAAGACGTTGTTGACCCTAGTTGTGTATTGGATGGTCAGCGGGAGTACAGCGATCCGACAGTGTTCTCAGCCAAGCTTACTATCGTTGATATTGACACGCCATATAACGCAGATGTAAGATTAGTGCCTGATCTTGTCGCTTAAGCTCTGTTTGGTGGACATCTCAAATCAACTATACTGAGGGATAACACCAGATGACGTACATGGTCATATGACTTCAGACTAAAGGTGTTTTGTTAACGTGAGAAGACGGCCAATAGTTTTCGTGGATTTATTTACAATTTTAAACTATCTACTTGGCTTTTTTTGCTTTCTAAATAATGCCTTTTATTTGCTATCGTATTGCTTCGTAGTGACACGTGCAAGTTGTCAGCGTGTGACGGTCACGTGTTTATCTAGGCGCGTTTCTGTATGTTTTGCGACCGTGAACTTTGATGGTCATGACTGACAAGACAGTAGCCATCGATGCACCTGGGACAGGCATACCAGCCACAAACCCACACTTGGGCATGATAGCCCCGGGCAGTAAGATCCTGAAGACACACGTTTCATCCCGTTGCGGCACTCTCAGTGAGTGGTTGCGGGATCTCCATTAAACAGTGCGAGAGATGGGTAAGAGGCAGACTTCAAAAGAATATGAGGAGCTCGCTGATACATCTAAGCCATCTTGGGCCGAGTCTACAACCCTACTAGAGGATAGGTACTATTGAACGACAAACAGTCCGAAAAGGATATTGACATCGATATGTCCGAGGACAATCGTTCTGTTCGTTACAGGAATTCTGTCTTCACTCCTTATTGGTACTCCAAATCCCATGAGATGCGTGCGCATCGTTAGAAGTCATAGCGTACTTTGTTAGCAAAATTCGCAAATGATCATTCGTAAATACTGAATGTTTACTGTATTTACATTTGAAATTAAGACTTTTACCACTCAAAAGGCTTTCGATAGTGTGTTTATGACATACATGTATATGTTATTTCGATCAGTGTATTGGCCGGCTAGGCTACAATACTAAATTGTCCCTGGCGAAGGGCTGTCTCGCTGTGGTAGCTTTGGCAGGATGCATGGCTGCCTTCTTGGATCCGCAAAAAATCGTGCGAGAATTTGACATTGTTGGAGATATTGTCAACAACATGGAACCTAGATATGACGAAAAGTCTAGTAAAAGGGGATATAAAACAAGTGGATCAAGCCATACTAGTAGAATAGAAGTCTCTTTCCGCTTCGGTAGGACAAAAACCTACCCCGACAGTCAGTACCTCAAATAATGACGTTGTCAGGACATTGGTCAATGAGGTTCCGCCAAAAGCACCTCTAGCAATTGACATTAGTGAAAAGCCGATGCCAGGACCTTCAGGTATAGAAGTGTCCTCCTCCGATGGGAGTTTTCCCGGAATCATTTACGGTAGTCCTGGCTATAGTGCAGAACATGAGCCAAACACAAATGCATATGTTCAACAAATGACATCGTCAGATCACCGATAATACTCAGATGACTTTAACTGTCAAATCGACGATGAAAAGGTGGACGTGTGTGATCAGATTGACGCAATACTTGGAGATTCTGATTTCGACTCTGACAATAGAAAAAGAAAATAACATTCGTGACGCAAGACCCACGCCGGACAATAATGGTAATTGTGTCGGAAGTAACGAACTACCAGAGTGCTTGAAGGAACACGCTCAGGATCTGCCCGGAGTTAGGATCTCGGAGTACCAGTAAGGAGCGAGGACGACATAATTTGAAACTTAAATGAGACTTACCTTTAAGTTGAAATTTGACCACGTGCCAACCCGTATTCCCACCATGTACTTACATGTACTTTTAGCTTGTACGGATACACCTTCTTATTTTGGTTGTATTTGTTTTATTAAACGCAATCCTTGAATAGTCATATTGTGTACTAATATTATACTAGCGGAAAAAAGAAACTGTGCATGCGGAGAATTGTTATTGAACATGTATTACCAACTGTATATACATGAAATTTCACACACATGACCGAGTATGACACATATACGTACACTATCCGTGTCATTGACAGTTTTGTCTCTACACGTTTTCATGTCAATCGAAACACAATCCGGGATTTGTGGAGACGACATCAACAGTTTGGCCACGTCGGCGATCGACCTCGGGCGGGACGTCCACGTGTGACGTCACGTCAACAGGACAACCATATTCGGCTTGTCCATTTGAGAAATCGCTTCCAAACGGCAAGTTTGACTGCAAGGACAATCCCTGGGTTGCTACCAATAAGCCCGAGAACTGTACGGAACAGATTGCGTGAACGAGCTATCCGTCCGCGACATCCTGCAATCCGCCCAGTTCTTCTGCCACGTCATCGTGTAGCACGCCTGGACTGGTGCAGAAGGCATCTGCGATTTACTCGACGGAATTGGGCAGGCATTTTGTTTACGGACGAGTCGCGAGTCCACCTGGATAGTAGTGACGGCCGTTTCAGAGTGTATCGTTGCGTTGGAGAACGTTTCCGTGACGCGTGTGTGGTACAACGACGTTTTTTCGGCGGAGGCAGCGTTATGATTTGGGGCGGCATCACAGCCAACGGGAGAACGCCTCTGGTGGTTGTTAACGGGAATTTGAACGCACTACGTTACCGTGACGAGATCCTCCGGACCCAGGTCGTTCCATTCGTGCAAGGGCAGCAACGTCACATTACGCTACAGCAGGACAACGCCAGGCCACACACAGCTCGTGTCCCTATGGACTTTCTGGCCCAGCAGAACGTTGACGTGTTACCCTGGCCTGTTGTATCCCCCCGATCTGTCGCCCATTGAACACGTCTGGGATGAAATGAAGCGCAGATTACGGGCATTACCTAATCAACCGGTGACGTTGTCTGATTTGCCTGCTGCGTTGGTACAGATCTGGAATGGCATCCAACAAGCATTCTTGAACCGTCTGATAGGCTCCATGCGTCGACGTTGCCAGGCTTGCATTCAGGCAAACGGTGGACGTACG